AACAAACAGTATAAGGAATTTTTTTTTTTATTTGACAGGATATTTCCGATACGATACTCACATCACTCGCATTTATTCGAGCTCTGTTTTCACCATTATTTAATTATATAAACAGAGTGCTACACACAAAAATTAATTATATACATACATACATACACACATATATATATATATATATATATATATATATTATATATTATATAATTATGCATATTTGAAAATGATATCTAGTTTATTCGATATTATTGCCTTCATACCATTACTTGAATTGTTTCCATTAGATCCTCTAATATTCCTAATAAATTTTTTAATTCTTGTAATAAATCCTATTTGTCTAGCAATAATGACATTGTAAATGGTTTTAATCAGTATTTTACTTCTGTTTTTAATTCTACTAACTCATTTTTTAATTTTAAGGATCCTCCTATGAGCACACTTCCAATCCCGGTTTTATCTGATGTTAACTTTACTGCTGACGACGTTGCACATGTAATTTCCTCTATAAAGTTGAATGGATCTTCAGGACCTGACAAGATAACACCAAAATTATTAAGACCTATCTCTAGCTCAATTTCAAATCCACTCTGGCTCCTGTTCCGCATATCACTTAGCCTTGGAGAACTACCGAAGGATTGGAAGTGTGCTCACGTTATACCAGTTTTTAAATCAGGGGACAAATCTCTTATAGAAAATTACAGACCTGTTGCTTTAACATCTATAATTTGTAAAATCATGGAAAAAATTTTAGTTAAATATTTGAATTATTTCCTTCTTGATAACTGTTAACTGAGCCCAAATCAGCATGGGTTCACTAAAAATAAATCATGCGTTACACAATTGACTAATGTTATTTATCACTGGTCAAAGTGTCTAGATAGTCGTAAACCTTGTGTCATAGATGCTCTATTTTTAGATATGAGCAAGGCATTTGACAAAATGCCGCATGACATACTTTTATCTAAACTCGCCAGAAACTATAATATTCAAGGGTCGGTTTGGCGATGGATATCTTCTTTTTTAACATCCAGAAAACAAAGAGTTTGTTTCAATGGTGCAATATCCAGTCACTTGCCTGTTACTTCAGGAGTGCCACAAGGTAGCTGTCTTGGACCTCTTCTTTTTAATTTATTTGTTAATGATATTTATTTCAATATTGATGCGAAATGTTATTTATTTGCCGATGATATTCTTATATTCAGACCTATTTTATGTGATAATGATGTTATTTTATTTCAGCAGGATATTAATCAAATTTACGATTGGTCTATCAATAATTCAATGATTTTTAATGTAAAGAAGACAAAGGTTATGCATATAACCAGAAAACGTAATTTTATCAAACCAATATACTTTTTAAATTCTGATCCAATTGAGTCTGTAACTAATCATAAGCATCTTGGAATTCATTTAAATAGTAAATTATCCTGGAACACTCAAATTGACAATATTATTTTAAGAGCAAATCGTATATATGATTGGCCTTATTTTTGCAATAGCTGGGGATAGCTCCACAGAAGCCCTTGTATGTCTTTATAAAGCTTTAGTTCTTCCAATTGTCGAATATGGATTGCCTGCGTGGGGTCCTCAGTATAAAAATCAATCAGACCGAATTGAACAGATCCAAAGAGAGTTTCCCGTAGAATTTTAAAGGTACGTCGGGGGGTTATGTCCTATCAAGAAAGGTTACAGAAACTTGGTTGGCTCTCTTTACAAAACAGGCGTAATTTTATTTTAGTTTCTTTTGTATTTCGATGTTTTTACAAACATAACATCTGCAGTGCAATCAATAATATAGTTATCAATTCTCGTCATCCAAATAATCTTACTTTCATTCATCCATTTGCCCGCACCGTTGCACTTAAACATTCATCTATTCATTCATTTCCTGTGTATTGGTCATCCCTTCCAAACCGAATTAAAGACGATGCTGTAAATTGTAACCTAAAAGTTTTTTTAAAGAGGTTCAAATCGTATCATTTTAGCATTCAGATGTAGATATAATTTTTATATTTTTTTGTTACTTTTTACAAATTTTAACTTAAAATATTGTAAATATTTTTGATGTTTTTGGTGTTTTGCTGGGACTTCTGACTCATTGAGTCACAGAGGCTATTGCTTCTTTAGAAGTCCCAGGACCTTTGTGTCTAATAAATAAATGAGAAATGAATGTGATATTTAATTTATGTCTACATAATTTCATTTATGCTAAAGTTATCTATATACTTTTCTTAATTTTTCTTGATTTTTCTTTTATTTCTTTTCACTTTCTCCATTATATTCATTTTCTATTCTTTTTATTTCTTTTCCTTTCCAGCTTTTCTTTAATTTTCTGTTTCTTTTCCTTTCAATATTTACATATGTGTTTATATATCATTTGAAAATGATAATTAGCCATCTCATAGGCATGAGGTCTATTCGATACTAGTGTCTTCACACCATTGATTTTACTATTTGATTTATGTTTACATAATTTCATTTATGCTAAAACTAGCTTTAATATAGATGATTTTTAATGTCTGCATCTATCTCTCTCCCCAGGGAAGATTTGAAGACTGAGTAGACTCAAAATCGATTAGGTTTTAGGTTTGAATTCAAAGAAAATACCACTATGGCACTTGCCACCTAATTTTCGCCTCGGATTTTTTTCCACTAGAAGATTTCTTTTCCATCCAGCTATTTTTCCAGGCTATTTCTTAAGGCTGTTTTCCAACTGCTATTTCCCCCCGGCTGTCTTGTCCCAGTATTTTCCATTGTATTTTTCCTCCTAGTTTTCCAACTGAATGTTTTCATCAGTTTACCTATATGTGTAAGGTGGAATACATTATTTGTTTATGCTTTTGTTTTTGTTTTGTAAGGTTACATCATAAATGTGTGCCGATAATAAAAAGCATTATCCAATAAATTAACTGATTGACTCTTGATGCATTTGAAATACTAATGAAGCCAAAAGACTCATTGTAGAAACGTGATTTTAAAAAGTTTGCTTCCGTGTTCACACAAAAAAACAGGAAACCTCTTTTTAACATTGAGTACTCTTTTGCACTATAAATTGCACACTTATTTCCTGGTTGGTCTATATATCCTACTTAAGTTTTACTGCATCAGCTAATAATCATCTGGCAAGGAGTGGAAATATTATTTCCACCATTAAGAATGTCTGGTAGTGGCCATTCTTGTACTATGCCGAACATTTTCCAGTAGGTTTTATTGGGTTAACTCACAAGCTGATCTATTCTGATATTCAATTGGTGTGATATGTGCTGTAAATATGAATACATAGGCTAAAATTAATTATTTTGGCTGCCATATTAAATTTCAAGATGGCGGCCATTTTGAAATTTAATATGGTGGTCATAATTTCTGATGGCTGTATGGTAGTCCCTGTTATGAAAAACATGTGCAACGGTCTTTGATTGACAGTGCTAGGTACTGTAGATATGAATATTGACAAAAATATAATTAATTTGGCGGCCATCTTGAAATCCAATATGGCGGCGCCATCTGACATAATTTCTGATGATTGCATTACACTCCTTTATATTGTAAAAATGGGTAATGATCTTCAATTGGCAATGGCGTGTTGTAGGTATGAATATATTGGCTAAAATCAATTATTTGGCGGCCATATTGGATTTCAAGATGGTGGCCATTAGGAGGCGTTATCTTTTGGGGTCTATTTTTTTTAATGATCTTTAGGTGTCATAGTATCACTATGGGAAGTTTCATGCTTTCTTCCAGAAGTGCACGATTCTACGAGACAGATGCTAAAACGCATTGTTACCTCAGTGTACAATACCTCCGTTTTTAATTTTATAAGCGTTTACTGTATTTGTTTATACTTACTAATGTAGAAAAATTAAAGTAGTTTCATATAAAATTTCAGCCCGGAAACCTAGACTCAGAAATACCGGGATGGTGTCAGGCGGGGGATAGTTTAACTATTAGTTAAGTGTTTCTTGTTTTTGCTTAATACAGCTTTTAACATCTGTTATTACCTCAATGCACAATACCTCAGTTTAAGTTTTTAAGTATTTATTGTTTTCTAACAAATGCAGGACAAAATGGAAGTATTTCCATAAATTCTAGCCCTGAAACCTAGACTCAGAAATACCGGGATGGTGTCCAGCGGGGAATAATTTAACTATTAGTTAAGTGTTTCTTGCTTGTGCTTTGTATCGTACTGCTACAAACACATTGTTACCGCAATGTACAATACCACAGTTCAATTGTGTATGCAATATATTAAAATCATATAGATACTTGATTTACAATGAATCTATAATCCATATGGTGGACACATTTGTTGTAATAGTAGAAGAAGCAATGTAAAATTCAAAACTAGTATCACTTTATTGACTAACTATAGTATCTGTCTCTTATACACATCTAGATGTGTATAAGAGACAGCCTTAGGTCTTCCGTCAGAGGTTAATAGTTTTTTGAAAGCCGAGTTCTGCACGAACCGGTAGATCACCCCATTTATCATGTATAGACAATTCATGTTCTGTAGTTTAATCCGATCTAATAAATATTTTGTTACTGAGTTTGTATTATGGTATTGTTGTATTTCATCTGAAGTCAGTGTTTAACAAAATTTTATCAAAGAGAAATCTATAGCTAAAGTAGTAAATAATTGCTGTCAATTGGATTTTATTTCCAATGTTTAAAAGTTCCAGTGTAAATGGTCCATCCTTCACTTAATTCCTGTTTTATTCTGAAGTTGATCTCCAGAACCACTGTCTGTGTCATAATCAGGTGTTTCAGTTGCATTCTGCTATCTCTAATCATTATTAGATTCGACCATATCATACTATAAATAATAAGTCCATTTGGGAACCAGGGCTGCTGTCTGGGCTTATGTACAGGATAAAGTTGCTGTCATTGGTACTTATGTTACCCCCAGTGTATAATAGTGCCAAAAAAAAAAATCATCCGTGTCTCTCTTCACATGTCATTTGGGCGTGGCCTTTAATGTCACTGTTTAGGGTCACGTATATATGAAAACATTGCTGTCATCGGTGTTTCAGCATTCTACAATGTACAAATAGTAATTCCCAGTTGGTTTCATCCATGTCTCTCTTTGCTTGATTTTATCATGTTGCTACTATATAAGACCCACGTGGGTCCCTTGGGGCTGCTGTCTGGGCTTATGTACAGGATAAAGTTACTGTCATTGGTATTTATGTTACCCCCAATGTATAATAGTAACAATAAAAAAAAATCATTGGTGTCTCTCTTCACATGATTAAATGTATTTGGGCGTGGCCTTTAATGTCACTGTTTAAGGTCA